CTTCTGTTATGAATTGGCGCAATACAAATAATCAAATTGAATTGAACTTAATAAGATGGCTTTCCACTAGTTGGCTTTCCTTTCCTTGAGTACTTTTATTTGGTCTTTATTAAGTTTAACTGAATTGTTAATGCCTTTCTGTCTTACATAAAGCCTCAAAGTTGAAAGGTGCTGTACACCTGTGTCGCCTTACTGTCATTTACACTTACATGACGCTCTGAGAAAATTCTTTCACTTGTTCTAAACCCGTTGGATAACATCAACAATGCATTGTCATCAAGCTAAACAAAGGCTGTTTTATCAGCCTTGTAGCCTGGCTGTCGTGGTTAAGTTCAGATATAGTCTCATTAGGTGTAACTTTAATCTTCTGTTTTCAAAAATGTTAACAGCTAAGATCTTTCATCTGGAGTGTGCACACAGTCTCTTGTTTGATGGAAGGGGTATTTCTCTCTGACAGGATTCAGAGCCACCACAGATCCAAATGAAAGGAGGATTGTTCTAGTGGGGAAGACTGGAGTAGGGAAGAGTGCAGCAGGAAACACCATTCTGGGCAGGGAAGCATTCGAGTCGGAATTGTCTCCAGCTTCCCAGACGGCTGAGTGCCAGAAAGCCAAGGGGAATGTCGGGGACCGAAAAGTGGCCGTCATTGACACTCCAGGGTTGTTTGACACTAATTTCACCCAAGAAGAAGTATTGAAGAGGATCAAGATGTGCATCTCTCTGTCTGCCCCTGGTCCTCATGCCTTCCTGGTAGTTCTTCAGCTGGGCAGATTTACCCAGGAGGAGAAGGAAACCGTCAAGATGATTCAGACCACTTTTGGTGAAGATGCAGCTAAATACACAATGGTTTTGTTCACACATGGAGATCAGCTGAAGAAGCAAACCATTGAGGGCTATATTTCCGAGAGTCCCGACCTGAAAGCCCTCATTCGGAAGTGCTACAGTCAATACCATGTCTTTAACAACGAAATTAAAGACCCTGAACAAACCAGTCAGCTCCTCGACAAAATCGACAAGATGACTATGGCTAACGGTGGAAGCTACTACACCAACGAAATGTTCATGAGAGCAGAGGCAGCCATAGAGAAGGAGAAACAGCGAGTCCTGAAGGAGCTGGAAGCACAGAGGCAGAGGGAGCTGGACAAACTGAGAACCAAATACGCAGAGGAGGCCTACCACAGGGAGGAGAAGCGAGTGATTAGGAGATACGACTATGAAGCCAGAGCTCGTGCTGAAAGGTCCAATGATTTTGTCGCTGCTCCAGTGATGGTTATAGCGACGACCTGTGGCGCTGTTGTCGGAGGTCTGCTCGGAGTTGTAGGAGGTCCAATCGGTTTGGCAGTCGGAGCTGCAGCTGGAGCAGTTGTTGGAGCTACTGTTGGTGCATTATCACTCAGAGTCTCAGAGCGTTGCAGTGTTCAATGAGGACATTTCCTGTCCATTATTGCAGTTAGCAGTCCCCTTTTCCTACTCGCATCACCACACTGAAATTCTACTGTTCGCCTTGGAGGACCACCTCTTTGTGGAATTCTCTCTCCTGACTGGATAAAATGGGAACAGGATGCCAGAAAACTGGGAGAGAATATAGAGCTATTTAACACTTATTTTAACTTAAAAATATTGCTTACAGCACCTTTCAATTATGTTTATATTTAATTGTTTTCCAGGAAAATGATATCCCTCTAGTCTTGGGTCATGTTCATTTGCTTCTTAGTAAATGCTCATAATCACTTTTCGTTCACAATTTGAAAATTTTGTACCAGAAATAGGTACACAGTAAAACTTCATACAGGGATTTAGTAGAATCAAGTAATCTTTTCTCATTACCTTAACATAAATATTTAAAGTTAAATAACCTTTTTTTAGTTGTTGTTTTCTGACCACTTCAGAACTTAAAAGAAGAGAAAAGAACTATGGACATGAATTCCTTTAACTTGAAGTCTTTTAACTCTAAATGATGAGTTGGACATACACCAATCAGCCTTAACATTATGACCACTGAC